TTCCATACCTCTGATTGTTTAGATGCGATTTTTTATATAAGTATGTAACTCCTCTATCAATGTATGCAGATGTATTCAAAAGCAGTAATCTTTCAAAGTAAAATTTGCAGATGTTCATGAAAGGTATGAAGCCTTCGGCATAGCCGAAGACAGCGCTGCTCTTACTTGTTTTTTTTTTAATAAACTCTAACCAGAGATAATTGGAAGGATTGTGAAGGCACATTATTTAGCCTAGTTTAGGAATTTTTAAAGAAAAAAAAACTTTCATTATTCGCAGATTTTCGCATACATGTATATGTGCCTTAAAAACACTTATTTTTTTGTCGCGTACGTTATCATCTTGTTTTGAACGGATATTTTCCACGCCAAAGTTTGAAGGTTGCATATATTTTTCAATCTTGCAATCTTGTTTTTCAGTTACTTAAATTTTTGAGAGATTTATGTTACTCCATAAGCGTACGAATGTCGCGCACGGCTGCATGGAAACGCCCATATGATTGATTATTCCCAATGCTCGAGCAAGCGATATATTTGCATAAAAACCGTTTTGCTCTGTCTGGTTGGCTAAACATCAACCGATTTTTATGTAATCGTGTAGCGGTTAGTTATTGTAGATTTTCTAAGTCAAGTTCTATCAAAGCGCTCAACAATACTGGCATAATAGTTCATTCGTTACTAGCACAAAGAACTTTGCTTTCAAAAACCAATAACCTTCTGCTTTAATATTCGTCAAATGTATTTTTTTTTTAATTTTTAAATCACCGCTTAAGGTAAAACTCTACAAGAACAGCAACAACAAAAAAAGACCAAAAATTACCAAAAACTATTTACTGCTATTTATGGTGGTTTGTCATCAAATTCTAAGCCTAATTTAATGAAAATCGTATGCAAATATATCAGCATGAATACTAATAGAATTTTTATGGATGCTCGAATAATCAAATCTTTTGAAACAAGAATAATTTTAGCAGTTTCATTGATTTCCGGTTATTTTGTGTTAGAGTATAGTAGTATGTGCTAAGTTTTTTTGTCCATATATATGTAATATAATACGAGTACCCAGAATGACGGTTAATACATTAACGAATGCCGAAAACTATTCTTTTCGCTTTAAGTATTTAATTGGATACAGCTTCCCCCAAAGGTCACCGGCATTTACGACCATCACTAATTTAGTGAACGTAAACGCCTGATAGACGCATCTAGTTTATACAAAGCCGATTGATCACATTAACCTTCAAATTAATTTTATGAATATGACTAAACGATACAAAAATTATTACCCATAAATGGTGTTCACATGAGAAGATTTTACAGGCAATTTTAGAGGCGTTTACTTGAATCAAAAGTTGGCTACCCCCAAATTCATTGAAAGCGATTAGTTGAAAGGCAATTCACACCAGACCACTGTTGCTTTCAACTAAAAGTTGTCTGTAAAATCGCTCCATGCAAACATCGTATTAGTTGTTTGATCTGGTGAAAGGAGCGTACTAAAAATCTCGGATCGTATGCTTGACGACGCGAAGAAATACAAATAAAAAATTCTCGGGAATATAAGTACCTACCATGGATGACGAAACATATACCAATCTGATGAATTTCAGAATTCTCCGGAATAATTGGTAATACATATCAGCAAGTTTGAATATTGATCAACGTGACATAAGTTAATATATTCGCGAAACTATGGGCAAAATATAGTAAAACTGGCTACTTAGTTTTTCTTTTTGGCGTCAGGATTTTTCTTAAAAGGACTTCGAAATATCGAAAATATGATTAATTCAAAAAGTTATTTAAAAACTTTGTGCAATGTAGAATAGCAATCTGGGTATCAAATAAAAACGAAAATTCCTTTGAATTGAAATTTATTAAACTTTTTGGTGCATAAGGACGAATGGGTATGGAAATGCCCTTTTTAAAATTTTGTCCTTGAATATCTTTGAAAATTTGCAATATTATGTATTAAATTTTTAAAGTCCTTTTAACAAAAATTCTGACGTCTGAGTGAAAAACCAAAAACGCAGTTTAACTATATTTGGCCCATTGTTTCGTGAGTATATTAACTGATTCGTGTGTTTTGAAATTTTTTTGTTTTTGTCCCGCGGTGCTCTGAGTGTCATTTTTCGATCCGATGCCTCAGCCCCTTAGGCCCAATAGAAAAATTAAGCACTAAGATAGGCTACCCTGGTGGAAATAGCCAGGTTAGAGAAGAAGGGCTACCGAAATTTCTTAGCAAAGCCTGTGTAGCAAGAAACCAAAAGATGATACTGTTTAAGGTCTTATTAGTTAAAAGGAAAATGGAACTTGGACACAAAACAGCAAGGAATCACTGGAGATATTACTGAACGCGCACTTTCCAGCATGAAACGCACAGAATTTTGCCAAAAGAGGGCGAAAGCAGAGATTCATCTATCATTTTAAAAATTCAGCATGAAAAAAATTCAGACCAAAACAAATTATCTCCTATACCACAGAAGCAGATGAACATATATAAATAAGGATTAAAAATTGTAAAAGATTCAGCACGCATCGCTTCATCCCCGTCACTATCGGAGCGATCGATCCCAGCGCAATGAGGAAATCATGCGATCAGGTATGTCACAAGAGAGTACTATCGTTACTCTTGTGGAAACTTGTGGTCGAAAAGCTGCTCATGTTTGTTGTATGGAATTAACTGATCGCTTTTGTTCGAGTATTGCCTATGAAGGGACTAATTGTTTCCCTTTATACCCAAATGGGTATATTTAAAAAGCGACTAGTCGCATTTAAAAAAGCTACGCCCGCTACGATTCAAATGGGAGCTCTCAGGTTTGCTTGCTAATGATCTAAAATGTAACTGTCGATAACATGAAAGAATATACGATTTTTTTTAATATTTACACACATATGAGTAGTCCACTTGCAAACAGCGTTATGCGATTTTATAATAGAAAGCCATAAATTTGAAAAAACGACTACGACAACAAGTAACACTTAAATTGAATATTTTTTATTATTACCTAAAAATTTGGATAAATAGGAGACTTGTAAAATTATAACATAACATAACATGGCATAAGATAACATTAACAGTCTATACGACCTAAAGCAGTTGTCTAAGTTCATCATAAGATGGATACTTTTGAAAGTTTATAAATAAGTATGATAGCGACTTTTGAAAGAAGAGTTAACATTTGATGCTATTTTTTCAGAATATAAAGGTATTTTGCACTGTGTGGTTGGTGGACATGAAACTACTTTAAATACAGGTACGTAATCCACCAAAAACTAAAAATCGAAAAAATTTTACATAGCGCACTTTGCAAGTGGACTACTCATATGTGACCTGGTCTACGGAAAGGGGGCTTAGGTGTCAAAAAATCAATTTTCACTTTTTGGTTGATTCGGATGGAAGATGAGATGCTTTTCACTTTTAACAGCTTTTTCACAGAAAACTAGTTTTCGCACGTAAGCTCCCTTTTCGTAGACCAGGTCACATATATTAAAGTACTTTAAAATAGAATCTTTTTTTTTTAATTCGTGACTTAGTGAAATGATAGCCTTCAAAGGGTCTTACTCACCTATTGAAGGGCGGTACAAAAAACTGACTGGCTCCCTGCTTTGCCCTAAAAGAGGGCATTCGAGGCGCCTGGTATGGTATAGCTACGGTGACCATCCGTTTTGTTTTTTTCATGACGGTACTGTTATTCAAACGTCTGTCATTCGCAATCGTATGCTGCGAATGCCGATTTATACTAAAGCCAGCCTTTCGACATAAGCTACTTTTCCATACGATCCCTGATTGATATGTATTTACATACGTGGTATAAAAATAACAAACAAAATATTTATTTTTTTGAACTGTTAATCAAATTTCTAGACTTGTATGCATGCATACATACATATGTACATATAGTATATGGTATATTTTGTGAAAAGATGTCCTGCATTTTCAATTCACATTTATGGTCACCGTAGGTATACCGCTAGCGGGACACTGAACTCTGTAGACAAACACTTTCAAACTAAGCGTTTTGAAGAAGAAACATTGTTTTGTTTCAAACATTCATGTAAAATACATATGTATGTGTGTATGTATCTAATATGTAGAACTGCAAACGAATTTTATCAGCTTTTGATAATACATATTTCAATACTGGTTTCGATCTGTGATTTTGGTAGAACCGCAACCGGTTAAAAAATACTCCAAGGCACCGTTTTTTTTAGATATGGTATGCAATTTTTAATCAATTTTAATTGTTCGCATGTCTCAAAAAGCCACTAATACATGCATACATAATGTTTGAACAAGTTGTGGAAATTAAATTTCAGTTTATGTTGATCACATATGTACATAAATTAAATGCTTATCTCATAGTTCCAAAAGCAGCAGCACCACCGGATTTCGAACGTCACTCCCAAAAAGAATTTGAGTGGTCAAAACTAGAAAAACGTGCAAAAAAGACAAATATTTTAAAGTGAAAGGTACAAATAGTAAACAAAAAACAAACTGCGGCATTGATAGAGTAATCTTGCCTTAGTAAGTGAAGGAACATCCAAGAGTTGTTAAGATTAATTACAGACTAATAAAATAATCAGTTAAATTGTGATCGATAAGCTTTTGTGACAAACGCATCGAAACCTATAAAAGCTTACTTCAATTTTATATGCTAATTGCTTATTCTTCATATAAATACTATAACGTTGTGACGTTATAAGTAAGATTAATAAAGTTAACAATAGAAAGTTAACAAATATGCCAGTCAATTATGCGAGCGAAAAAGTCAAATGAGAAGCCTTCAAGCCAGTGCTGGCAGCGGCAGTGATTTAAAAGTTCATCTACTAAGCAGAGTTCAACAATAAATATGGCGTGAAAATGAATGAATCTTCTTTTCAAAAAAAATTCCACTAATCTGTATGTATGTATGTTTGTTTGTGTGCACCTTTTAATTATTCGACCTCCAAACGCCATTAGAGAATACCAAACTGCTGACTTTGAAACTCACCAATAACCCACCGTAACAAAGTGAACGGATTAATTCGTTAATGTTACTAATTTGCAAATTTTCGAGAAAAAGTCACACGCTCGTCTTTTGCTGTGTATTTTTATTTTTTTTTTTCATTTTTATTTTGTATTTGTCGGTATGTAAATAATATGGCAAGTATGTATTTTGTTTTTAATTTTAACCACATGTAAAGCTAAATACATTCGCACAAAATGAGAGTGATACAAAACAGACAGAAAAACAAATGATTTTTTTTTTTAAACAAAAGAGTTCATAAAAAAAAATAAAAATTTAATGGCCTAAAAATAAAAATTAAATTTAATTAACATATCATACGAGTTTACTGACTTGCTCAATGCAATGCGCGCATGTATAGAAGAATTTCATTTCGGCTTCTGCTGCCGCATCACCTTTTCGATGGAACTTATCGACAGATCGCGTTAGAAACATATAATCATCAGTTACTTATAAATAATTATCGAAATAGCAAATTAGCGCTCTAAGGAGAAGACCTTAAACTAAGATTGGTGGCTGGTGGCTGGTGAGTGGTGAGTGGTGAGTGGTGATTGGTGATGACTGTTGGCTGTTGGGGCGTTGCCACATTAACCACATCTTATGTAAACAAAATGAAAGAGCCTCTCTTCGCCGCACACGCGTTCCCTCCACCAGCACAGCACATCCAACATTACCCATTCCCCTTGCTCGTTCACTGTCGTTCGTTTTCATTTCCGCTTGCGCTGTGGATACACCGTACCGTAAGAGGTCACGCCATTCGCTAACTCATTGAAGGAAGCGCCCTCTTGCAGCGGCAGCGGTTCGACCTTGATCGGCGCTATATTGACCGGCAGCGGCAATTTCAAATTGACGGAAGCATCCGATGTGTCAATTGCGCCTTCGGGTGCTATATCATTGCCAGCAGCTACAGCTTCCACTAGGGACGAAGGCAGCGCCATTGCAGCGGACGCGGGTAGCGCGCGTGCAGAGGAAACTGATGATGCCGCATTACTGCCCCTGCTGCTGCCGCCGTATGTGTAACCTTGATTGGTCAAGGCCGATGTGAATGCGACATTCTCCAATGCTGGCGCAGCAAATTTCTGCGTTACTGAGGCTGGCAGATGCTGTGAGTTGTGATAATATGAAGTTGCTGGTTGTGAGGATTGTGTGCGATATGTTTGTTGTTGTTGTTGTTGGTGGTACTGTGGCCGCGTCTGCTGCTGCACATAACTTTGGTGCGTTTGCGCATAGCTGATGTAGTTTGGTTGATATGGCTGTTGATGCCGCTGTTGATGTTGCGAATGTTGGGGAAAGGTGAGCTGATGCCGCGGCGTCGGGTAGTGGTAGTAACGTAAGGGTGCATTTTGCGAGTAGTGTGGCAACTGTGCAGCATTCGCGGCGAGTAGGAAGGTGAGCGCGGCACAGAAGCGCATTGGTAGTTGCTGAAAAGAGAATGTAGGTTAGTGAGAAATTATCAAATAAATGTAATAAATTTTTTTTTTATAATTACAGGGGGTCTTAAAAGTTCGGTAACAAATTTTTGTGGTGTGGCGGAAGATAATAATATTTATCTCAGGCAAATACTTGTGAACGATAAGTGGGCTAATGGAGGGAGCACTTGATGGCAACTTTAAGAGGGCCTCTCCTAAATAGAACAAAATAACAGTCCTGGCAATCGAAATACCTTGGCAACCTACTAGGCTTCAAATTAAATTGGTCAAGCAATGTGGATGAGTTAGTTCAGAGGTGTATAGCGATTTACTACACCTACAAAAGTACTTCAGGGAAATAATGAAAAACTTCCGCCATACAATTCCCATGATACCCTTGTGTGTGCTTAAGTTAAGTGATATTTTTTTGTCCGATTCGGCTATTTTTCTTTCGTTTATTTAATGTTTAATAATCTATATTAGTCTAGCACATTGTGTAACCAACAGTAAAGGGGCCATTCCATACCATATTTACACCACAATATTTTTTTGGGGGGTGAAATATATATTTTTTACATTCTTTATCGAAAAAAGAAGACACCAATTTTTTATTTCGTCATGATCTTCGAAAATCTCAAAAAAAAATTATCGAAATTTTGAACTCTTTTCAATGGTTTGTAGGTAATAAACTATTTGTCGGAAGAAATCAGTTAAGGTATCAAAATGTGCGTAATTACCTCGGCTTTCCATGAGAGTGTGAGATTAATTAAAATAAATAAATAAAATTTTCATGTTCGATTTTTATTTTTTTCAGCTTAAATAGTTTATTTATGGAATACGCAGTAAAAATTTAAGAATGTAAACACCAAAATTGTAGAAGTTACGAGTTTTTTTTATACCTGTGTACATATAATTTATGAAATTTTTTTTTTTTATTTCAATATATCTCCCACTCTCGTGGCAATCCGAGCTAATTACGCATATTTCTATACCTTAACTGATTTTCTCCGACAAATAGTTTATTAACTGCAAACAATTGAAAAAGATAATAATGAGTTCAAAATTTCGGGAATTTTTTTTTTCGAGATTTTCGAATATCATGACGAAATATAAAAATTGGTGTCTTCTTTTTTCGATAAAGAATGTTAAAAAAATATATATTTCACCCAACAAAAAATATTGAGGTGTTAATATTGTATGGTAATGAATGTATGTATGGTAATATAAATCCGCATAAAAAACTTTGTGCAAAAATTATAAAAATTCAACAAACCTCATGGTGAAATTATACCAGGTGTAGTAATCAAAGCGAGAAATAGATAGATAGAAATAGAAAATTTTCCTTTAAAAAATTAAATAAGATAGCCAAATGTCTGGAAAATAAAGCGAGACAGCTGTTTATAATTTCACCATGAACAAATACACCCGAAAGTTTCAAACTTTTTATTATTATTTACACTTTATATGAAAGCAAATGCAAAGCGCCGTTAGGAAAAAAAAATTTACATTATTTTTATATCGCCAAAGCACCACGCGCACAATGAGGCTCAAATACTCTCGGTAAATGAAGATAGTATAGAGGGTTAAACTCCTACCTATCCAGACTTGGAACTTTATTAGAAGGCTATCGATTAGAGAAGAGCGGGACTTAGTCCTAATAGTGGTTGGTGTGGAGTAAAGAACCAGCGCATAGTGTTTCGACTATATGGAGGCAGGTATAAAAACGTCATGGTGGCAGTTGATAAAACCCGGTTGGGCTTAGAGCTGGGAAAATTAAAAATCAAAAGTCGTTTCCTTTGGCGCTTAACCAATTAAAGTAAGTGTTTCTTTTCCAACTGTAATCAAGTTTATGTTAAGTATCGTAGAATACGGGTGGATGTATTTATCATTTATTTGGTATTTTCCTATTTAATCTATCAAAAAATTCACTGTGAAATATAGATGCTAAAGAGTATTAGTAAAAAAAAGTCTGAGTACCGGTTCGTCAGGTCTTGAAATTAGACGTATGTTTTAGGTATTTTTTTTTTGGTTTTGCAATATATAATGGATCTCTTTGCCGACTTTGCAAATGCATATAATTTGCAATTTTCTTAATTTTTCATTTTTAGCCTCTTTTTGCATAATTTCGCGAAAAGAATTTTTCAAACAATGAAAAAATCTCACGAAATTTTGCGAGGAAAGGGAATATTTACACCTTTGTTATCTTAAAATATAGCCTTTGTATTCTGAGTGTGTGAAGCAGGCAACAAAAATTAACCAAAATTCCGTCACATTTAATGACTGTGCCCACATTTTTTGTGAGTTTCTGGACTTTATGGTGATCCACTTTTCCCCATAATTTATATTTAGGGGTTTATAATAAAATATAGAGTACAAACTACATCGAAATCGGATGAAATTTAATAGGGGTCTTCCCTTAAATTCGTAAAAGTCTCGTACACCTCGTAAAGCTTGTAAATTTACGAGCCTCGTAAAAGAACTGTTAAAATTTGTTCAGTGTTGTACTGAAAGGAATATATATGTAAATATTTCGAATTGAGGCTACTTAAAACACAACATTCACGTCGTTTTATCATATTCAAATTTTTTTCTTTTTTGTACAATTTGCTGAACATGTCTGGGCATATTCAATTAAATAATAAGATATTTTTCCAGTTAATGAGATGACCAAAGCTACCACCGGCATTTTCACACGTTCCTATGCTTTATAACGCTGATTCTGTATGAACAAATATTCATGAATTCTCTCAGTAAAAATGTGGAGATGAGAATGAAGAGGATATAATTAATCACTTCCTGGGTCGATGTCTGGGCCTGTTGTCAAAGCGATTAAAAAAACATGTTCGGGATACTTGGATCTCCCCAATTTAATTTAGAATAGATAGTAAGTGTTTCAGTCGGTTAATAACCGTAGTTAATGGGCGAGTGAGCGTTTGGAAGTTTTCATAGGCGTATTCTGAATGAAAAAGAATTTGCATGAATTTCGAATATCTTCCCCCAAATTCATAAAAATAAAAAAAAGACTTTAACTGCTTCATAATTTAAAAATTTGTATGAAAATGTCACTTTATAAAGCTCTTTAAACCTGTTTCATTTTTTATGAATAAGGCCATTAGACTGTATTCCGAAATCAAATAAAAAACTGCAAATTTTTATATAGAAGCTACCTAAGGAGGAGAAATGATGCAACTAGACAAAGTTCTGTGTATATGTATATCGCTGCTAACCGCATCGCTTGAGCATGGATGAACAAAGTCGAATATTTCTTCTTTTTAGGTTTTGAAGCTAATTAAAGTTTTCAAATGAAGAAAAGCACAGCGTTTTCGCCGCAAACTGCATAAGAGGATACCATTACTACTTTTATATTCAAGGGTCACTTTATGTGCCAAGCCAGCACACTGCCACTGAACTAAGCACACTCTTTTATTTCTTGTTATTTATTCATTTTCTTAATACAATAGATTAAAATTAATTGTGGCCGCTTCTTTTATTGATTTATTTTATTACAATAGGTTAACGGAACACTTAAAAATATTTCAAAGAGTTCAAATTAACTTTGTTCAATCAGCTATAAAGTGACGATATTGTACCGCCAGACAAATAAAGCTTATTGAATAACGGCGGCTTGGCACTATAGAAGAATTTAAAACCAGTTTTAATGAATTGAATTAAGCACATTTTGAAATAAATTCCTTTTCAGAGTTTCTCGCTGAACTTAAGAGCTTGTTGTACTATCTTTTAAAAGGCATTTTTAAATTTCAATTAAAATATTTTTAAATACAAAACAAAAAAAAATAGAATAAAAATTTTAAATATCCAAATGCTTTAAAAACATCTTATTACGCTCCATTAAGCCAAAGGCTATTTTTTATAAAAATTCATGCACAGGAAAGCACATTTTTGGTCGTTTTTTTTATGTATGTATGGAGTTTGTTACCAAACTTTTTTTTTGTAATTTGTCACTCACATGATACCACATTTTATGTTGCTATTTTTCTGTTGTTCTACAGATGTCGAATGTTTGCTAAGTTGTATGTGTGTTATAATATGGAGCTAACGGTGATTTACTCGTCATAAAAGTAGCAATTCAATTTATCATTTTTGCAATTATCGCGCAATTCAACAGTTTCTTCACACTCTTCTTAGTTTTTTTGTTTTTTTTTGTGATTTTTGCAAAGTGCACTTAAAGTTTATTTGCTTTGAAGAAAAACTCTCAGCAAGTTTGTCGCTTAAGTCTTTTGTTTTCACAATGCAAAACACCGTGAGTTCATTCGCCAAAAACCGTGCTCGCGCGCACACACACACACGCACACACACACACACTTAGATACTCCCGATCAGCTGGTTACTCCTTTATTGACACTCAACACGCATTGCAACGCATCGCCGCGCGCCTTCAATCGCCAAATCGATGGTCCGACTGTTCGTTGTAGCCAGCCAGCTTCAGCTTCAGCTATGTTTGCACTCGAACAACTTCTATATTTGATAATCGTTTTTGTTTCTTTTTTACTTTTTTTTCGTATTTTCCTATTTCTGATTTCTGTTTACTGCAATCAAATACAGCTAAAACAGTCGCACGTTGTCACCTTGTTGAGCTTTTTTAACTGATTAAACTTTGTTCGCAAACTAAAGATGCTTTTTATAGGAATTTAACGCTTTGTCTCTTGTTGCTATACATATGTATTTCATTTCGTTTTAATAAATATTTTTTTCTGCCAGTTGATACGTTCATTCACATCGGTGTATTTCAATTTTGAATTTCGTTCACATTGCGTTCGCTTATTTATTACTTTTGTTTCACTTTTTATACAAATTTTGGTGTTTTTTTTGTTGTAATTTGCTTAATTTTTTTAAACCACTTCGGCCTGGTCAACTGGTTGTTGTTGCTGTTGTTGTGGTTTGTTTGTTGCTCACCTGCTTTTGCCTATTGTTCAGCGCCATCAGGTCACATGATTCGTTTTTCGTAGCGGTTGTTGTTGTTGTTGTTGTCGCGGTTGCTGTTGGCATGCTCCAGTCAACGTTCGTGCTTATCTCAGCTGATAATGTCAATCGCCGCTCATCTGCTTGTCGGTCGCTCATCAGCCGCTTGAATGGCCCCAAGTAGCCGTAAGCTTGTAATCTACAACTTCTTCTGCTTTTGTGTATAGTTTTTGTTTTTGCTTTTATTTAGCGCGCACCTTTACTTGCAGCACTCATTATTTTTGTCTGCTTTGACTTTGGTCGTTTGTCTTCGGCATTTGCTGTCCACTGTGGCTGGCGATTTCTTGCGCTGGCTGTTCGTGATGAGCCATGCAATTTAGTGGATAAGCCAGTGGCGTAAGCAGAATTCATTGTGTTTTTTTTTCATTAATTGCAAATTGTCTATGCATGACACATTTTTTGGAGCTATTTTACTATTTTATCGCGTTTCAATTGAGTTTCTTAAAAACATCACAACAACCTTTGATTTTGCTTTTGTAATGAAAGCAGTTAAATTTTTTTGCATATTGTTCAGTTTTAAAAAATTGTTTTCATTAGCGGACTTTGCATCTTAATATTTTAAGTGCACTCTGAACTAGTTCGCTTATGTAATTGTGAGGCGCTGAGAGCTTGCAATTTCAATTTTTGGTTAAGTACTTCCCCCTTTGCGAATTAGTTGGTTGGTTGTATACCACGTGATTGCTTTTGGTTTAAGCTTTTGGATGTAGCTGTGAAAATGTATTCATTGAATTGACCTTACACAAATACATAGGTAATTTAGAGCATTTCATGGTAATAATTATTTAAGACGAAGAAGAGTTCATTTGTATGAAATAGCGTTAGACTGATGAACTGCTACCTCATTTATATGTATAAGAGGCGGCTTAAGCTTATAAATTATGATGCAGCCGCTTATTGTTAAGAGTTTATTATTTTTCTTGCAAATAATTCTTTGCCAAATACCTTTGTGAAAATGTACACAGAACATTTTTAATATAAGATCCTCAAGTTGCTAATGTACTTACTTATTTAAGAGGGCAACTCACACAATTCATTACTAAAATATGCATTTTTTTCCGCGCGAATTAAGGTCATGTGGAAGTATTCAATAGGAGCGGTTATAAACTGAAGAGGAATCGAATGAAACCAGCTATGTGTAAGGTATCAATGAAAATCTCTTTTTATTTGAAAGGCTCACGAAAGCGATTGTGTATGGAATATAACATCATTTAAATGTCTGCAATGGCTTCTCATAGGATCCAAGTGGTCTAAATTTGAATCAGTCTACCGTATACATAAGCAGTGCGTCACTAGAAATTGGAGCATCATTGGGAAATTGAGAGGGTTTGCTTTTCTAGGCACAAAAACGACATCATTTTTTTCCTACCACTCAAGAGCTCCGTAGTAACATGAGGCGAGATCAGGCCAATAGAAGGTAGACACACCATGGTGATGCAAAAATGGTTTACATTAAGTTTCTGTGATAATTGTTCCTGTAGTAACGAAATTTTTACTTCTCATGCCAGAACTGCAGATAGCCTGCCAAACGATAAATTTTTTGGGAAACTTCGTTCTTTTTTTGTGTGTCCTAAAATTTTCCGGGACATTTCCCTAGCATCGGCAACATAAAACTCTGGACCAGGAAGTTGAGAAAAGTCAGAAAGTACGTACGTTTCATCGTCTTCACGAAGTCTTTGTACAGCTTTTTGGCACGTATTTTAGCCACACCGTTCTTCGTTGCATTGCGCTCCGGCACTTTTAGCACTTCGTCCGTCATCAGACTAGCTTCTGCCTTAGCTCTACGCACAAATGGCTCTGAGCACCCCACCAGTTGAGCAATATTTCTTTCCGAAAGATTTGGTTTTTTTTTTTTTGGGGCCACCACATCCTTTTTTCCGTCCCGTTCCTTTCTTAAGAGTAACATTAGAATCTACCTTAAACTGTTTTATTATCCGTGATACAGTCTTTCTGGAAATTTTTAATGCTTTCGCAATGTGAGTTCATTTTGGATTATTTACAAAATTTTTTTAAATTTCTTCACGTGTTTTTTGTTCGCTGCTCATATTTAGGAAGTATAACTCGAAAATGCATGCATTAATTTCTAGTGACGCACTCCTTATACATAAGTGACTGAAGTCGAGTGATTCCGCTTGTTATGTTTACTCTTCTATCCTATTTGCTAGCTATGTATTTTGGCAACTTCAGTTATGATTTTTTTTTTTTAATTTCATGTTATTTTTTACCCTTTGAAAGGATTAATATGTGTAAATAAAGGTCCGCTTTCTATGGAGTCGAAGTTCACAAAAATTACTCAGTGCTCATACACCAGGTAGAACGAAAGATCAGAGCTTCTTATTCTGAATTACTATATGGTTTAGACGCAAGTTTCATTCAAAGAAAATACAGAGCATGTACTTATGTTAACAGCGGATTTTACTGCAGTCTGATTCGGCAGACTATAATCCAGCGCCCACACGCCTTCCCTCAACTGGCCTGAAAATTTCCAACACGGCCCAAGCGTGCGACTTATCTTCAGTATTCATTTATGTGAACTCCAATTGCAGTCGTTATATATGTATGCATACCAATTTCATTCGCTCGATTTTTTTGGAAAGGCTTGACGCCTTTGTAAAAAAAAAATATTAGATATTCATCCTATTTATATTATATTTATAACCACGTGATGATTCAGTTGAAAGACAACAACACCATTTTTTAATACTTCAAAGTTGCGGCAATAGAAAATAAATTAAAAATTTTGCCAACACGGAAAAAACTCAAAGTATTGAAAAAAATAAAAGCAACAACACTTAGAGAATAATAGTCAATTAAACGGCATTATCAACAATAACAACGGCATACAAGCGACAGTGCCAGCAAATCGTCCAGCGTGGAACTAATTAAAATTCAAGCAAAATCAAAATGCTTAAAACAAAAAAAAAAATTAAGCAGAGGCTAACTGTACAAATGTTAATTTTTGGAAAACAAAAAAATAACAAAGAAATCTAAATAGCGATTATGCCAACAAAGCATTGCTATGCGGACGTTGTCAAGTAATAAAAGCTTTGCGTTTAAGAATTAAGTAAACCAGAAGACCATAAGATACCACATACATATAAATCGATTAAGACCGTAGATATTATGCAGAACATATTTAATATTTAAATGTCGCTATAAGGCGAAGAACCTTAAGAGTTCATTTAAATAAGTAAAGGTGACACGGCGCAGATGTGCTAACAAATGTGTACTGTATTTAGATAATTATATGCTGGCGAACAAGCAGAATAAGAATTTGTGTTTGCGTATGCGCATGCGCGGCATCAAACCAACATGCCAGCCAGCAACACATATGCGCAAAGGTTTCGATGTGATGCCTCCATTGCGTGTGTTTGCTTTATTGTTTCGCGTGATTAAGTATTTATTTAATCATTTAAATTTTTTAATTGTATGCAAAAGCAGAAGCTATCGAGGAATTTAGTTTGATGCTTTAAGTGCGGTTAGAAGGGTGCTGGAAGGTCAGTCACGCACTCTGATTAACCCTTGTGTGTTCAATTTTTTTTGCGTCTGTTTCTGGTCTAATCATAGCACTGTTATTTAGATGGGCAAGGGAGTATCTTTTTTACGCGACGTACACTTCATAAAGGAAAATCAAGGTAATTATAGAGCATCCAAATAGGGACTAGTTCCTGCAATCATGAATATGGAAGTCTTTTAACAGACGTTCAGAATACATTTAAGGTATGAAGAGGAGACATGTCCACGCTTTTGAATAGAGGCACAGATGGTGCGTTAGACGACGAAGCACGCAGTCAGATGAATAGGGAGAAAGCTCAGACCCCTTCTCTCGACCAAAAGGCGGTGGTCAAGCGGATGTATGTATATATAAACCAGCTGTTAAGCATCGTTTAGTCTTATTAATCTGAAATCTCAATGTATGTTGCAGAATCCACAAGACGGCATGTTTGCGCTAATTACAGCGGGATAAGCCTTCTTAGTGCAGCATATAAGATCATTTCGAACATCCTGCGGATCTTATTAGAGCGTCGTCAGACACGGCAATTCCTCCATAGGCCAGATTTTCAAAGTTTGTAAAATTCTGAAAAAAAAACTTTATATGAACAAATCGATGCACACCACCCCTTCATAATTTAAAAAATGTCTTTGATAACACGAAGAGAATGCCTCTACGAATTCATGTCTAAATTTGTGATCCCCACAAAATTATTACGGCTGTGTAGAGTGACTCTATCTGAATTGAAAAGCGTTTATCTGCCACGCACAGTAGTTTGAAGCTTATTTATTTTTATTTAGTGAAACCATTAAACCAGCCATTGACAATTTGCTTGTCTGAAAATTAATATATAAGATATTTTGCATGTATAGGAATTTTTCGTCATTAACCCATAGGCAACGACTGGTGCAAAAGTACCCACAAATGTTTGATGATAAATTTTAAATGTACATTTAACCTGCCAAAATTCATAAAAAATATAGAAATAAAACAAAAATATTATTAATTACTACATAGGAGGTCAGCGTGGTTATTGACAGATTTTGCCAAAATTTAAGACTAATTTAAATTATACCAAAGCATGCATTATCCTCTTTCAAATGTCAATAAGCGGCTGAACAAATGCATAAAAACTTCGTGCACCTGCTCGAACGTGGAGATATACTTGTTTTACCCCCAAATCGATGAGACCATTTTCCAAAGTCAGCCCACCATTATTCACTCAAAATTGTGTGCGGAACATGGTCTGACTTATGTAGGAACTGCATCCAGTCATAATCGCTTAC